GGGTGTTATGATTCCATCCACGATCTTTGATTCTTTTGCGCGTCCACTGGTAATTATTTGATGTGATTTCAGAATATTCATCATCATTGAGAGGACTCTTCTTAGAACTTCTGGCGTCCATTCTTCACCTGTGAATAATAGTTCAATACTTTCTTCGTAACCTGAAATTAAAATAAAAGTTAGTCGAGAAAGTGAGTCAGCAAGAACATTGTTCTTCCCGTCTATGTGTTCAAAGTGAACAGCGATCCCCAGCCCGTTAATGAAGTCGGTGAAGGCAAACCATTTAGCCCTAGATGGTTTATTTTGGGCTGTTTTGTTGTAAAAAGAGATTATGACCTAGCAATCGGTTCGAAAAATAATTTTTGATTTGTCAAGATAGTGGATTTTTAAAGAATTTAGAATTTTCATGCAAATATGGATTTTTGCATCGATTGTGAATTTGATTGTTACGAACTTTCCACTACCATAGATACATATTTTCTCTGAAGATCGAGGATAATTCTTTGTCATTTTCCATTTATACTCCTCCCCATCCTTCCATGCAACCATCTGTTTCAAGAACAATAAAAACGTTTGGAGGAGAAATTTCTAAATCAGGAAGCTTTTGAACCAAATCCTTTATTTTGCAGATAAGCTCCCAATCATGATTCTTTAATCTTTTGTCTCCGTGGGGAGACGTTTTCTGATACAAGGGTCCAAGAAGAATTCCTAGGTTTGGAATGTAGCTGCGAGCGTAATTGAGAATTCCGAGCCAAGATCTCATACCCTGTTTTTCCTTTAATTTTTCATTAGGAAAATCTACTATTTTCCTAATTAGATGCAGATGGAGCTTGATTTTTTTCTTCCCAATGACTGCTCCAAGAAACTCTATCTCGTTTACGGAAGAAACTCTATCTCGTTTACGGGCTATCTTTATTTTTGTTGGTGATAGCACGAGCCCTTCTGATTTAACAATTATAAGAAATTTCTCCAGATGTTCCTTGTGATTACTTTCATTTTGCTGAAGATGCAAAAGCAAAAAGCGCAATATGACTCGAGCAGCCATACTAAACAATCTAGAACTCCCGGATGACTACGATGTTCTCTCAGTAGACCTCAATGAAGAATCATCTGATTCAATCTGTTCAATCTCTGAGGGTGAAGGAGCAAATACCCTCACATATATCTGCAGTGCCTTGGAAAACTGCCCTATTGAAGAATTCGGGCTAATGATGAAAGAGGACTACGGATGGAAGTGCTTGATTAAATTAAAAGATGATCAAGAGAAGTGCTCACATCAATGAGAGCACAACAAACCTATGAAAAGTCAGTACTCTCGTTGTTCTTATTGTTTTATTATTACAAATCCAAACATGAGAGTACATTACATCTTGTGCAAACTAACTGTATGCCCGCAATGTGCTAAGTTTTACCAAGAAATAATTGTGCAGAAAGAGTTGTCCCTACTACAGTTTCAATCCAAGGATAACTTAATCCATGAACTGGTAAAATACACGAAGCACTTGATAGAAGAAAACAGAAGGCTGAAAGAACAACTTTAGCAAGAAATGGAGAAGCACTTAGCTTAAGATATGCAGGAACTTACCCTAAGAGATAGGGGTAAAAAGGTCGTTATATTTGAAGACGACGAAGAAGATGATCCTGAACAAATTGATGAGCACGGTGCATAAATGTTGTCTGAAGCCTTGAAAGAACAAATACAAAAGCCTCCCAAAAGGATCATCAATAAATTGTTTAATTTAACAGTTACATTTGAAGTTCCAGGTGTGGAGCATTTCAAGTTAAAGATAATAATAGACACCAGAGCTACATCTTGTTGTGCCAACATTAATTCCGTTCCAAAAAAAATCTTGAATTATCAAGTTTTATTTAATGGAGTAAACTCCACTACAAATTCAGACAAGTAGATGAAATACGGAAAGACGTATATTTCAGAACACAGCTTCAGGATACCGTTAATCTATTGCTTGCATATGGAGATAAATGACGGTATTCAAATGCTTATAGGATGTAATTTTATTTGAAGCATGCATGGAGGCATGCGAATTGAAGGTAACACTGTTACATTCTATAAAGAAATAACTCATATTTCAACCACTACTGACATCGAAATTGCAGCCAAGTATATTCCAGGACTAGAAATTGATTATGATTTCTATACTGAGCTCCAACCTGAATCGTTATACTCCAACATAATCTCTAACGAAAATACTTTTGTTAGAAGATTCAGGTCATTATTTAACATGCTGCAAGATAATGGCTATATCGGGGAGAATCCACAGAAATATTGGAAGAAGAATAAGATCACCTGCAAGATCGACATAATCAATCCTGACCTTACTATCCAAGACCAACCTCTAAAGCATGTGACTCCTGCCATGCAAGATCAGTTCAAACACCATATTAACAGTCTACTGGAATTGAAAGTAATTCGACCCAGTAAAAGTAGACACAGAACGATGACAATAATCTTAAACTCAAGAACTACAGTTGACCCGAAGACGGCAAAGGAGACGAGGAAAAGAAAGGCTCGTGTTCAATTACAGGTCTTTGAACGACAACACACACAAAGACCAATACTCTCTACCAGGAATCAACACGTTACTGAAGCGGATCAGTAATAGCCAAATCTACTCAAATTTCGATCTAAAGAGTGGATTTCATCAGGTCGTAATGCATCCGGATTCTATTGAATGGACGACATTCACAGCACCAACCGAATTATACAAATGGCTAGTCATGTCATTTGGACTAAAGAACGCGCCTGCCAATTTTTAGAAAAAAATGATTTTTTGTTTTAATAACTGTTCTGATTTTCTTGCAGTTTACATTGATGATATAATCATCTTCAGCAAGAATGAAAGTGATCACAAGGAACATCTGAAAAAGTTCTTTGCAATTGTTGAATCAGAATGACTCGTGCTATCACCAACAAAAATGAAAATAGTCGTAAACGAGATAGAGTTTCTTGGAGCAGTCATTGGGAAGAAAAAAATCAAGCTCCAACCGCATATAATTAGGAAAATAGCAGATTTTCCTAATGAAAATTTAAAGGAAAAACAGGGTATGAGATCTTGGCTCAAAATTCTCAATTACGCTCGCAGCTACATTCCATACCTACGAGTTCTTCTTGGACCCTTGTATCAAAAAATGTCTCCTCACGGAGACAAAAGATTAAAGGATCATGATTGGGAGCTTATTCGCAAAATAAAGGATTTGGTTCAAAAGCTTCCTGATTTAGAAATTTCTCCTCCAAACGTCTTTATTGTTCTTGAAACAGATGGTTGCATAGAATGATGAGAATGAGTATGTAAATGGAAAATGACAAAGAATGATCCTCGTTCGCCAGAGAAAGTATGTGCCTATGCTAATGGAAAGTTCGCAACGATCAAATCCACAATCGATACAGAAATCCATGCTTGCATGGAAACTCTAATATCTTTAAAAATCTACTATCTTGACAAATCAGAAATTATTCTTCGAACCGATTGTCAGGTCATAATCTCTTTTTACAACAAAATAACCCAAAATAAATCATCTAGAGTTAGATGACTTGCCTTCACCGACTTCATTAACGAGCTGAAGATCGTTGTTCACTTTGAACACATAGACAGGAAGAACAATGTTCTTGCCGACTCACTTTCTCGACTAACTTTTATTTTAATTTCAGGTTACGAAGAAAGTGTTGAACTATTATTCACAGGTGAAGAATGGACGTCAGAAGTTCTAAGAGAAAGAGTCCTCTCAAAGAGGATGAATATTCTGAAATCGCATCAAATAATTACCATTGAACGTGCAAATGAATCAAAGATCGCCGGTGGAATCATAACATCCCAAACAAACGTTATGAACTACGTCGCGAATGGATGCAACAAGCTAGAAGGAAGGAGTTCAACAGAAGCTGCCCTAGCACTTTCGATGTGCCAAATATTCCAAAAGACGTCAGTGATATACACTGAGAATTGTTATGTGAATCTTTCAATTTTTCATTATCTATGGATGCACATGATAAACTCAGAGGAGCTGCCAGAATGATTGAATCAGATCAAGCAAATAAGGTGCTTAATGAACTACGCATTCTTCAGCGCATGTACGAAAATAAAACTGCATATTGCAAAAACTGTTCCGGAAAAGACAATGCTTGGAGCGAGATCCTACCAGATGTTCAACAGATGGAGAAAAGGCTGGACAGCCTCATCAGCATCGCCGCACAAGTTGTCTACCAAGGCCTCGAAAGAGAGATTTAATTTCCAGGGTGTAAATTCGATCAAAATCTTTTTCTTGTATATACATATTTTCGTCAGTATATGTATTTTTATTGTCTGTATTTGGTACCTGGGTATGCCCAGAGGTAGTTGTCATGCAGAGCTGTAGTGGGCCCGCAATAATTTGAGTCTGTCGGCCAGAGAATATCTTTTGGCCAAGTGCGTCTGTGAGTGGGTACAGAAGATGTCTTTCCGCCCACGGTTTTATCTTTTCGGCCCGTGGTTTTGGTTAGTGGGGAATCTCCTTTCCATGTGGAGAAATCCTGACCGTCCACGTTGCGTGGAATTATTCTCCACTCAGCTGACCACGTTATCTTGTCGTTCTGATCTCTTAACCTCACCTCCTCTATATAAGGAGGTTTTTGTTATGCGTTGCGGACATCCCGGCCATAAGCCAAGAGTCTACTTCTCATCTTGTGAGTCATCCTTATTTCAATAAAATTTCTTTAAGCTTTCTTGTTTATATTTCTCTGTTGTTTTATTCCGGCTTAAAGTTCTTTGTGACCCCCAAGCCGCGATCCCCCATCCCTATTTTCGCCCCTTTTTGGTATTTGGCAAGGCATTTGAAAATTGCTGACAAGGTTTGGAGATCAATCCTCACCTACACAATAATAAACTCCCATCTTGTGGTCCTTTTAGTAGGCTAAAAAACAAAGAATCCTTCATATGCTAAAATATATAAAAAGTAAAAAGTTATACAAATACACTTTCTACAGTAGCAAGTCAAAAAAATACCTGTTCGATCATTGAGCCATTAAGTCCCTTCAAGGAATCTGCACCCAAATCTAGCTCAAGCAAAAATCTTCTGCTGCCAAGATAACCCCATACTTCTCCAGTAAAAACCGCAAAAACAAGCTGAATAAGTTTATGAAGCGTTCATTAGCAAACAAAAGAAAATGAAAATAAAGACAAGATAGATACCATCACTGGTCCAATCAGAACCATCAATAAATGTGAAATGTTGATCAACACTTTAGCATACGGTTAAATGAACAAGAGAGATCGGTGAAAGATAAAAAGTAGATTCAAAGGACTATTTATAATATGTTTCAAGCCAAAAGAGAAAAAGAAAATGTTCTTTAATAATTTTGAAAATTAAACACCTCAGATCCTTAACTTCACTATGAGATGAATCATGCACATTGCGCTCATCATAAACTTAACAATATTGGTCGAAACGCTAGATTGTTTACTACAAACATGTGATATTATGGGGAACAAAATCAACTTGGGAACTAATCAAGATAAGTGTACCTACGGATGTCCTAATTCCACTGGCAAAGGGTCATGAGCATTCAAATTTAAAATGACAAATGTGGCAGTATGTAAAGGAAAATTTCTGCAATACATGACACTTGGATATGACATAGGTAATTAAAATTAGATATTGGTTTTCTGTGATGAAAGTAAAAGTCAGTTCATGTTTGCTCCAATGTCTAAAAACAAGATAAACAAAGTATAAATAAGGTACAACAAACCAAGCACAACATGTTTATTTCCAGATTTGGAAAGACAAGGTCACCATTGCTATCTTTTAACTCTTCAGCAGCATACTTAAAGCTTCACCAGCATGTCCACTCACACATTTAAACAATAATACAGAAGCGAAGCTAGTGAACAAATGAACTGACCTGTTTTTTAAGCTCACTCAAATTACTACCATGAGAAAGAGCGTCAACAGCAGCCAACAAAGCAATCAATCCCTGAGAATAGTTCACAGAAATATCTTCATAATCTTTGAGTATGAATTCATATGAAAGGCATAGTCAAAATGACCCAAACTAATCGATGAGTCTGCATTACTTCTAGGATCAGAAAAGCCATACCGACAAAGGGGAATCAGCACCAAAGCTAACATCACGGAAAAATGATGCAGAATCCATGGATGCCATCACAAGTATAATAGATTTTGGGGGCTCAGCAGAAGTAGTATCTATTGGTGGTAGTGAAGACCAGACACTGCCCTTTACATATAAAACAAGGAGACTAGTGAACACAGTTGGTCGTGATCTAGCATGAATTTCCACGGTAGTATAACACATTTCATACTCCACATTAAATAAATCATTCCATGTCTTAAACATTCTTTAAAGTTAGATATAAAAAATGATAAAAATATTAGGTTACTGCTATGAACAAGAAGCCTAATGGCTACGATTACAAAAGTTCCAGAAAAGAAAAACCAAGCAAAGCAACTGACATTTATTCCACACAACAAATAACAGATCTTTTCACTCTTATATACAAGGCATTACCATCCTAAAGAAAGCAAACTGAATTATTAAGTCATTATATTGCAGAAACATGCCACAGAAACTAGCTAATTCCAACCCACATTGACTTGAATTGAGTCAAATTATACAGCAGATTGTGCTAGCTCGAGATCAAATCGAAACACGAACACAAACATACACATGTGCACACTTGCTTGCACATGTGGTCATATGGGCCCACTCAACCTCACACACACACAGACACTCACAGATATGTATGAGTATGCTCACTTGTCCTCAGAAAATCCATCATCAAGCACGAATCTTGATACATTTCTGTATTACAAGCTTTCTAACAAGCCCAAGATCTTAAAATTCTTAAGTCATTAAGGTAAAGAAAATCACTGATCAAATGATTAAGCAAGAGTTGTCCAACTGTTTAAATTTGCGCACTCTGAGGAGAGCCTTGAGACCCGCCTTAATGCAATTCTAAAGAAAATGCTTCAAGGAGTATGCTTTAGCTTTGGTTGAGGCACGCCTCAAGATGGGGCTCGCCTCAATTCAGTTAAGCCTTAGCGCCTCTCACGCTTAGGCTTTTTTCCCATTTATTAGACGGCTTGAATACTAATAGAAGAAGCACTCTCAAATGCAATAGCTCCCCTCCCCCAATCAAGCTTCACAACATCGCTGCCAGCTGGGTGCGGCTGCCGCCACAACATGCTTCTGCTATAGCTACCCTTTACTCTTGTTGCTGCTGTTACTCAAATCTCTTGCAGTTGTCGCCGCCACCAGCTGCTTCAACTTTTGATTATTTATTATCTTATTATTTAGATCTATGGATGTTATTATGTTGGTCAGACAATTGGAGTGAGAGCAGTCTTCTATGTTAGACGCATCTTATGACTTCAATATTTTATTTTATTGTCATTTCATGTTCAACATTATGTCAGTTTGATGATTTGATAAATTGATGTTAACATTATATTTTTATTTTGTACAAATTTTTATGTGATATTGTACAACTTATGCATTTTTTTATTTCATATAAACTGAATATCTCACTTTTTACCAAGCGAGAATGTTAATATGTTTTCTTTAATATAAATATAAGATATAATGTTGAAGTATTATTTTTATCGTCTTATTTTGACATGCAATTTTCAAACTGTGAGGCTTTACGCCTTAGGCCATGTTGTCTCACAAGCGAAAAAATGCCACAATATCTACTCGCACTATTTTAAACATTGAGCCATCCAAGGAGTTTTTAGGATTTTGGCCAATATTAATAAAATATCTCTCAAAAATTAAAAATAAAACATCATTATCGGCGTGAAAGGGACTTGGACTTCAATTTGGGAAGGGCTTAGGGGTTGATCAGTTTACTGAAAAAATAATACAGTGTAAATAAATGCAATACATGAGTAATGTACTATTGAAATACTTTGATGTTGTTTGATTTTGTGTAAAATAAATGATCGAATTTATTCTTTTTGATTGGCTTGAAGTAAAATGAAAATAATATATTTCAAAGTCATGATTTTGTCGTGGGCAAAGGGCGCTAGCGACGGTGGTGCTCGGTGACGAGCAGCAACGATGTTGGTGGCCAACGACAATGGTGGTGGCCTACGAAGGTAGTGGCCGACAACGCCAATGGTGGTTGGTGGTGGCGGTCGGCGAAAATGATAGCGACAACAGTGGTTGGTAGTGGGGACGATGGCCAGTAGCAGTGGTGCCCGACGACGCCCGAAAATGATAGTGCTTGACGATGGCCGATGAAGGTGGGTGCCCAACGGTGGTTAGCAGCAGCTACTAACAGTGGTGGCCAACAGTGGAAGGCGAAGAAGGTGGAGGGCAAAGGTGGTGCCCAACAACAATTTAAATTAAGTTGTGGTTTTAAAATTAAGCCAAATCGAACGAATTTTAAATTTAGAGAAAGTGAATTGAAGGTTGAATACATTGAATTCCAATTACTTTCAAACAAAGAGCTAAATTTCAAAATGCATAGAATTAGAATGCAATGCACTAGAAATGTTGTCGATCAAATAACCCTTAGAGATTTAATAAACTCTTAAGATCATCTCAACAATAAACGCCAATGACCACTAGTAGCCACCATTAGTTAACTTCCATTATTTGACAATCATCATCTCAACATCATTATCCTATCATTGTCTGTCAGCCAAATAAACGTCGTTGATTCTTTATTTTAGGATTTACTTTAATTTAATTATGGATATATATGTGATTATAACTTTATTAAATAGTATTTTAACTTTGAAAAATAATGTTTCAATTTAATTTATATATGACTATAATTTTGGAAAATAATATTATTTTAATTTAGAAAAGTGAGACCAAATGAATCTCACATATTTGATAGTTTAGATGGTTTTGCACAGTACCACAAGTGGTACACTATCCCGAGGGATATGCATATAATTTATTGGCAGACTTAACCACCAAAACTAAAGAGTTTGTGACATCCGTTTGTTCTGCGAAACCCTTTTTTTATAAGCTGACAAGTTCATTTATTTAACATGAAATATTAAATAGGGTTTATATTAAATTTGGTTCTTAAGTTTTCTATAGAAGCAAACCCCTATAGTTAATTATATCTTAAATGATCGAGGTCATCTAAGAAAATTCTTGATTAAGATCAGTGGTTCTGTCTTCAAGATTAAAAAATTTAAGTTTCCAAGGTAGGACATAGAAAACTAAAAAAGGAATGACTCAAAATAGGAACAGTTATTTTCAGTAGTTAAAGGGAACAAAAAAATATGGGATGTAACAGATCCAAGGGAAACCCCGGTGACTTCCCAACTATCCTATTGTTTGGCTTAAACTTTGAAAAAAAGTTTTTTGAGTGTTTCAATCCTGCAAGTTATATTATTTAGGACTTACACTCGCACGATATCTGATCGTGCAAATGACATAAGAAGGAAAGAGGCTTTATGTCGTACCGAACGATGACCTCGGAATCCTAAAGAGAATTAGGACTTATAATGCACAATAGAGTGGTACAAACGCCTAAAACGGAAGTGATGATTTATGTCGCACTAAGCGGACTACCTCAAAGTCCTATGAGTTGTTTATTCTACAAAAATTCCAACTGAAGATCGTCCTTCACTTCGCTGTTGTGGTCTCAATCGTCGCCCTCCATCCGCTCACTTCCTCGTTCCGCTTCCTGGAAAAGATACTCCAAGCTTCTTAACATATCGGTCATAGGCTTAGAGGTTTTTGTGTGTATATATATATATATATATATATATATTATAGTTGTTTGGTCAGTGGCTCGCCATATGGTGCCTCCTAAACCGAGTGTCCTACTGTCTCTATCATAAAGACCCTGCAAGTCTATAGAAGTAACATGAATAATAAAAAGGAAACATGTTATAAAGCGCAGTGAATAATAAACAGTAATATCGCAAGCATGAACTGTATGTACGTGCAGTAAACTGCGGTAAAGAAAAATCGTGAGTAAAGAAAGACAGTAAAGTGTGCAGTAAAGAAAGTAAAATATTGTAAATATAAAACAAACCTGCATACATGACGGATCTACTACTCCTGTAAATGAGATCGTTATCGCAGGGGAAAGTAAACGAATTCAATGGAAAATTTAACAGATGGCAAGCATGCATTTATACAAATAGAAATGAATAGTAAAAGAAAAATCACCTGAAAATCTCGAGGAAAGCCACAAATAACTCATGGTAACTCGAAGAAAACCATTAGGAATACGAAAAAAATCCGAAGGAAATCATGAGTAATCTACAATGACTCGAATAAAATCATATGAAACATATGAAAAATCCGAGGAAAGAAAGAAAACCGTAAGCATACGGGTCGGAGTAAACTCATATTTTAGTTATTCTCGAGGGACTTTGAAGGCAACCATCGGTCATCCATATGTATATAGCCCGATATTCAACTAGAAATTTCCAACAATACAATCTTAGGAGGACAATCTTTAGCCCAGTACAGGTAATTGACAAGCAGACAATCAGTTTGTATTACTTAAAGTTTATATTTTGACATGCATATAGGCTTCATGCATATAAGCAAAATTTATATCTATTTTAGTCAAAATATTTTGTAAATAGTGTATTTGTTCTTACCGTTGTATTTTTAAAAATTTGATTGTCAACAAGTCGATCACACTATCGGGCCAGGACCGCCAGCAGCCTAAGAAGGCAAGGGTTCTCGCTAGTTTAGTGTCGGTGAATAATATTGTCATCCTACATTTGCACCAGGTCCCTGAGATGGGCCCTGATGTCATAGGATAAGATATTATTCTGCTCTACCACAAGGTGCTTTTATCAAAGCCTTGAACCCAAAAAAAAAATGTCCAACTTATGACCTTAACTTGATGGTTCATATATAACCATGATTATATATGTGCGTTTATGCTTCAGACATAAGCACCAAAACCAAACCAAGAAGCAAGGAAAGAAAAGAAGAAAAATGGGGTGAGAGAGAGAAGGAAACAATCCACCTGAAAGAATAAAGAAAAGAAAGGTGGATCGGCCCTCAAAACTGCGGCTCGATAACCCCCAAAACAAAAATGCAAATCCGCTTCAATGTAGCCAAGAAAACATTTCAAAATAGGTGCCCAAACCTGCTTTCAATTAGCTAGCAAAATGGCCCGATATTATGTCCGAAATGCTTTAAAACGACACCCAAAAGCTACTTCAAGGCAGTGCTAAAGTGTTTCAAGACATTGCATAAATTCCTTCCAAACATCCAAAA